AAAATAGCCTTATCTATAAGTGAAATTCCCACCGAAGTTGAGCAAACTTTGAAGTATGTAGTAGTCCATTATTCCAGTGCTGGAATGCAAAAGAGCATAGAGGAATTTTTAAAGAAATTCTGGAAGAAAAAATTCATAAGTGAAAATCACTAGAAATAACATTTTTCTTTTTCTTTTGATCTTGTAAATTACATTGGGTGTTAAATAAATGAAATAATAATAATAATAGATTAAATAAAGATAAGCAAAAAAAAAAATTCATTAGAATGCTAAGATAAAAAAAAAACACTATGAAGGAATTTTTTTGGTGTAAAACAAAAATTGAATATTATCAAAATATTAAGAGGGTTACTAGTTATAAAAATATTTTTGTAAATGATTCATAAATGTTTCATCTAATTTTTATTTTTTTACGTTAGAACTTTAATCCTTTGATTATTCAAATTTTATCACATAAATTATCTTTATCACATAAATTATCTTTATGATTTATTTATATATTGTTATTTTAGTAAAAACTTTTGAATTTTATTCGTTTTGCAAACAAAATAAATTATTAAAACTTATGCAAATGTTACAGAAGAGAATTAACTTAATAAATAACAACAGTATTCAAAAAATAATAAAGCAGCTTTTAACCAGATCTTCAAGTCTAGTTGAGAAAACGTGTAAATTGCGATATAAAAATGTATTTTAACATAAAAAAAGAAGAAAAAAAAAATTCCTTTCTTTTAAAATTTAAAAGTTTATGTAAATAAAAACCGTAAACAATATTTATTAATAGATATATATTCACAATGTAAGACGCGTTTGAATTACACGACATGATGTCAAATTGTACGACATTATAATTAATTGTACAACTATTAAAAACAAAAGTGTATGGGGAAGCAGGGGAAAATATTTTCAAAAGATACTTTTACTATCGGACATGTCAACTCATTTATTGCATTTATTGCATATATTGCAAACAGATAAGTGGCATTTAGAGGATAAGTATTTGCATCATGCTATTATATATTCGACTGAAGATAAAAATATTATAAAAAGATATCTTTTTTTCACTTATTATTTTTTAATTATTTTTTTTTCGGCTTGTATTTGGAGCATTAAATGTTCAACGTTCTTATGTGTTGTGTTCCAAGTTTAAATGTTTCCGTATAAAATAAAGATACAATTATCTCCTAAAATAGTTCAACCCTATTTAGACAAGACTTTTCTCAATTATTAAATAGATATTTTCAGAAAATAACTATGTTGTTAAAAAATCTTAAAGTTAGCTTGATAACTAGTTAAATTTTGTTGTTAAAAATCTTAAAATTAGTTTTGATAACTAATTAAATTTTGTTGTTAAAAATCTTAAAATTAGTTTGATAACTAATTAAATTTTGTTGTTAAAAATCTTAAAATTAGTTTGATAACTAATTAAATTTTGTGGATTATAAGCTTGCCAAGGTTTTAAATATAAAAAATAACAAATAAAGTACAATTTAAAAATGAATCAAAACAGGTATTAAGTTCATAGATTTTAATATATCTAAATTTAAATACTTATTTCAAACTAAAGTTTAATTATATTAAAGTTATATATTTAAAGAATTGTAAACAAAATATTTTTTCATTAACATAATTTTGGTAATTAAATTAATTTTAAACTTGATTTTTTAAGTTTTTACGCAACATTTTAGCACTTTTCATTAATGTTATTCTTTACTTGATTGTTACTTTTTAAATTTAAAAAAAAAAAATTATAAAGCATTTATATAAACGGTTATACGTTAGAGTGCTGACTTTTTTACAACGCATATGTCCTATTCTATCTAGTAATGAACATTTATGCATAAAATTTTCAAAAAGTTTACCCACTAATAAAAAAATATATATATTAGTAATCATGCTGCATCTTTTAAGTCAACACCTTGAAAATTACAAAAAACTTTGTAGTACCATTTGCCAACATTGGTCTTTCTTTAAACTACGAAACTTTAAGATAAAGATATAATCTGAAACTTCTTAATCTATGCAAAAAACTTCTTGATCTATGCAAAAGCTTCTTAATCTATGCAAAACGCATCTTCTTTATAAAGATAATGGTATATTTATTACTTATTATTATAATGGTATATTTTTTTAATTATCCTATTACATAACCCCGAACACCTGAGGAAAAAATTAGATTGCGCACATTTTCTAACAGAAACCAAATTGTCAAATGACTTTTTTAAAAGTATAACATTTATCTATTGATTTAGAAACAAAAAGTTATTATCGATTACCTTGATAATATACAAAACCTAAAAGAAAAATGTTAGAAAATAGGCATGTTTCAAAGTTGGAGGGTAGCATAGTTCAACCATGATTTTACCTCTTTTTTACCCGTGTGACACAAATATATTATAAAAATAGTTAGCATTAGACTATTCTCAACACGTTTAAAAAAAAATCGCTTCTAAAAATTGCCTTTGATATATAAAGAATAGAAATGAAAATGTCATCATTTAAAAACATAAACATTTGCTTTTTCCTAATGAAAACAAAACACTTTAAAAATACTTTTTTCAAATCTTAGCTCTTTTTATTGGAATAATTGAATTACTGTTATGGTTTTGTATATTATATTAAATGTATTTAAATTAGTTGTATAAAAAAGTTGCTCATTTTTAATATGTGTCCGGAACCACCCTCCAAATATGCGTCCGATACCACCCAATCACACCTTATTCACAAATACTAGCTTTAAAACCAATTTTTTTTTTTAATATTGTAAATAAAAAAATATCTTTAATTAATAAAAAATTATCAGTTTACATAAGAATAAGGTATATTAATATGTGAATCCAATATGATGGCACTATTCTGGTGGTGGGAAAAAATATCTTGCACTTTAAATTTTAAAAAACATCATTAAAGAGTTTAATACATAATTAAATAAAAACTTCATGAATGTAAGTCTTTGTTTTTTGAAAAAAAATTAAAGAGTCCATATTATTGTATATATATAAATTAAAAAATCCATAATAGAAGTTTTTAATTAAATATCTTGCACTTCCATCATCAATCTTGCACTCTTGATTGTTAATTGGCATGAAATACGGTATCGGAATCATATTTTTACTAAAAATGGTTTTGGAATTTTGAAGAAGATATCAAGAAAGTTGGTAACTACCGGAAAGCTCTTACATGTTTGAAAATATATTGGACAAAACATCCAGCGTAGCAATATATGAACTGAAAGAGCAGTAAAAGTTGCTGAAGACTTGCCTCGATATATAAATTCTAAAGTTTATTCTGTCTAATATAACATCTAATGTAACATCTAATGTAATGTAATATCTAATATATGAAAAAGAAGTATTTGATAAATTCAATATCTTTTAAAATAGCTAAACTTCAATACAAAATAATCTAATGTGTTTGCTTTTTTCGTGTCATCTAATGTGGTTGACTTTTTTAAAATATTAGAATAAAAGATAATACTCATTTACCAATGCTTCAGGGTTTCAAAAAAAAAAAAAAAAAAAAAAAAGTCAACACCCTATCATACGTATATATAAAAATAGGGTGTTGACTTTTATAGTCAATACGTATTTTATATATATATATATATATATATATATATATATATATATATATATATATATATATATATATATATATATATATATATATTCGGTAATTACTTATGAATGGACTGATTGATAAAGCAAAACAATAATTAATTTTTCCTAGCTTATATTTTTCATTAATTTGTTTCTACATTGTAAATGTTAGTAAAAGAAAATATAAATAAAAAAAAAAAATAAAAAATTCAATTAACTGGCTGTGTTTGAAATTTGCAATGATGTTTTTTTTTCCTATTGCTATTTTAAGATCCAATTTTACTTTCGTAAGGTTTGAGTAGAAATTTTAAGGTAGAAAATGTAAGATTTAGAGGAAAAAAAGGCAATGCAGTGTCCTAATCTATAGAAAACATTGGAAAACAATTTTATAAATAATCTAAAATTATTTTTTCCTCTTTATTTTAACTATTAGATTTTCTATTAGAAAATCTAATAGTTAAAATAAAAATTCTTCAAAAAGAATTGAGGTGAAAAAATATAAGAGAAAAAACAAATAAAAGAAACGTTTTAGCATTTTTCTTATCACTTATTAACGAATAAACTAATTCACAAAATAAACTTTAAATGGTCCAAGGTGAAAAAGACCATTTACTTGGTGTTCAAATAAGGCCACCTCTTTATTATAATAACCTAGGTCATTCTTACTTAAGTAGGAATTTCATCTACTTATTTAAAATAAAGTTTGTTGCTATAGACTTTTTTTTTTATCAGCAAACACTTTTTTATAAATGAACAAAAAGGAGTTTTCAATTCGCTCGAATTTTGTAACTGCTTGTAAATTATTGCTTTAATTTTTTGCGTTTGCTCCCAAATTAATATAATTTCTTTACATTTACTAGCAAATGTAGCAAACGAAAATAATTTTTGAAACAAACCAATTTTTTTATAACCTTATATAATAACTGGTCTAAGTACGATAAGACTTGGTTTAAGTTCCTTTATAAATAGTTCTTTATAAGGACTAATTTAAGTTCCAAAACATGGTATGAGATTTATCATAAGCTGATATAATGTAACCTGATAAAGTTTTAATGTAGTCATAAAATATAGCTTGACGTAAGTTACATGTAATATAACAAAAAATCAATATAAATTTCAATAATATGGACCGTAAACAATATTATAATATGATGACAGTCTTGAGTAGTTACAACAATTGGTACAAAGTCTTATATATTTTGTTATTTAAGAATTCTTATATATTATGGCATTAACCGATTAAAGATTTCGATTATTTTGGATGTAACTTAAACAAAATTTGAACTTTAGTGTAGTTGTTGCGTAACAAATTTTATTTGGATTTAAAGTGGAGACGGAAAATTTAGTTGCAATTACTAAGCTTTAATAACATTATAATTATTGTCAATTAAATGCACTTACATCGTTAAATATTCCATTCCGAAGAGCAAAAATTTCTCTTTGTCAGTCAACTTTTTTTTGAACAGCATTGTTTTGTAAAATGTTGCTAGGTTATTCTTCATTTTATGCTGTATTCCAGCAGAGCTTTTGTTTTTTTTTTCTTAAAAAATGCTTTGTCAAGTCGGTCATTGAAATTGAAATTGAAAAGATTTTGTAATGGATTAATATAAAAGTTGAAAATGAAATATGAAATGGTAAAACTAAAATGGAATGTTAATTACGAATACTTTTTTTTTTTTAAATCTAGCGCAATTTTTTTTTTAATTTTAATTTTTGAATTCTAATATTTTTAAGCAAAATTTTAACGTATGGAAAAAATTCCTTAATTATTTTTTGGATCTCTGAAGAAGAAAGTTTTACTAGGGTCATTCTTAAACAATAAGTCATTACATAACAAAGAGCCGTATTGTTAAAAAACGTAATTATTTATTGATTATTTTGAATTATTTAGAAAACAAAGGTAAAAGAATTTTTCAAACTTGTTGAATAATAATGAGTAAAAAATAGATTTTTTAAAAACAAAACCAACTTTATTATCTTTAAAACTTTTACGTTTGTTTTTGTCATTGTTTTGCTGCCTGTATATTGCCGCATATACAATCATTCATGGTTTAGTCCATTTATTTGTTATTATTATTTCTTATTTAATTTAAGTTTTTATCTTGATTAATATTTTGTTATGATGGCGTCCCAAAATATAAAAGGAATACAATTAATTAAAATGAATACAACAATTGAAAACTATAACAACTTTTCTTATTCTAATAAAAAGTGCATATCGTCCACATCTCATATCAGTTGTTCATACCACTTGAAATTTAAAACATCTGTTTGGAAAACCATAACACCAAAAAATATCAAGAATAAATTTTAAGAAAAGCCAAAACATTGATTGTACTCGGACCAATAAATAAAACAAGATGTTTTTTAATACTTAGTGGATGAGCACGAATATATTTATATTTTAATTACAAACAAAATATTTGTATTTTATCTTAAATTTTAGTTTTAACTTAAACTTTAAGCACATTTAAATTGGAAATTGCTTTTTATACAATTTATTATAATGTTTGTGTCGTAACCTATAAGAAATATATTCATAATCACTGTTTTTTTTTTAATATAGATTTTGAATTAAAGTTATTTTTAATTTGAACTTTTCAAACGGCTCGTTTCAGGTTAACATGAGTAAAAACTATTAAAAGCGAATTTAACATTGTATTTTTATTTTTAAACTGTTTTTTGTAAAGCCGTACTTTTTGATTATTATTTTAATAATTTTAATAATTAGAGTTAAACCAACATTTTATATTTTCTAATTTATGACTTTTTAATTGATTTTTTCAAAAGATTAGTATAAATCTTTTAACAAGTTATATGTTGCAAAATTTTATTTTTTTATGTACTTATTACTTTTTTTGTATATTTCTACTATTTTTATATATTTATTACCAGAAAATCTTATTGCTTATATACTGGTTACAATTATATATGCTCTAAGTAATAATTTTTATTTTACGGAGTCAAAATTCGGGGCTTGGTTATAAGACAAATTGTGTCTTCTTCTTGCCCCGGCCATCTGTATTTATACTGAAATATTGATTATTTCTATATTTACTTATATGGCAAAAAAAAAAAAAAAAAAAAGGGTTGACCGTTATTAGAAATCGATGAAAACTTTTGAGGGTGTTTTGTTTTTATGTGTCAATCGTCACAATTTTTTTGTAAAATATTTTGATTCAAATGAAAGCTAGCGCAGAAATATATTTCCATGCTTGACAGAAACCTATACGAAATGCAAAAGAAAAAGTTCCCCCTCCATTGACACATAAAAAAAACACGCATGAATCTCCAAGTCATTCAAATAAAATGCCACAAATGTTTTTATCGTAAAAATGTTATTGCATTTGTAAAATACAATATCATTCTTTTAAACGAAATCTTCAAAAATCTTCTTACAACTGAACTTTCTAATAAACAATCATACCTATTAAATTCTTACTATGGTTGACGTACATCAATATATGTTGCATTCAACAATCATACCTCTTACTTTCTTACCATAGTCAACGAACGTAGATACATGTCACGTATTAGCTTATTGGATAATGTTTTCTGTATGTATGCATTTAGGTGCCCCAGAAGTCTTTACGGTCTTATCATAGAACATTGCGGAAGAGTATTTAACAGGAAGTTCATGCCTTCTTCCGTACCTATGTCGCTTGTTGGACTGGAGCTGGCTTCGAACCTCGGACCTCTAGGTTCTGAGCCAGAACTCTAACCGCTGCGCCACGGCTACTCTGGTCAATGTCAAATACAAAATATCTTCTCAATGACTTGCATAAGTTTATGATATATAAACGCTATCAGTAATCACCTGTAATAATGGTTACTGATAAATAAAAGAAATAAATTATTTTAAAAATAAAATTACTTTACTTTAAATCGAATCATAATTTATTATTGTTAATTATTATTAACTAGATCTTAAATTTAAATAAAATATATTATGACGCTCAAAAGATAAAATTGTCATTTAACTTTTAAAAACCATTACATTTTAAACACTTAAGAAAGCTTTAGAAAAAAGTTTAAAAATGATAAAAGGTTTTGATCCATTTTCAACGGTTATCAAGACATTGATAACCGTTGAAAATGGATTACTATTAACGGTTACTATTAACGGTTACTATGAATACACTGGTTACTATGAACAATTATTATTTGAAAAATTTTTTTCAGTAATAGTATCTTTACCTCTAAAAATTTTTTTTTGCTTTTACAAGTTCAAAAACGCATAATTCTGCCAATATACACTTAGTTATTGATTGTAACAAAATGAATTCTAAAAAAGAACCCATTAGATGATTAGAATCACTTAAGGTCGCATCTTTAAGTGAATTCTAAAGAATCTATAAGTTTATTAGAACCACTTAAGGTCGTATCTATAAATGAATTCTAAAGAGAACCCATAAGACAATTAGAATCACTTAAGGTTGCATCTTTAAATAAAATCTAAAGAAGCCATAAAATGATTAGAGTTATCTAACGTCGCATCTTTAAATGATTTTGTATATTTCTTCGTTTTTTACTTCCACCAACAGCCAATTTGAAAATAAGTTTTCATTAAATTTAAAACTTTTCTTGATGGATTTTTGAAATTCAATTTCTGTGGATATAGTGCTTGAGCTTGTTTTTAAACGTGTTCTCGGAAATAGAGAATAATTACAGATACAAAAGTCAACTGTTGCGTGCTTAAGCTGACTTCCTTAACTTTGGTTTTGAAATTTTTAAAAAGACTGTTGACAGCATTAATACAAAAACTATATGACGCTTGAACGCTAGTTTTACTTTAAATAGATAAGTTTTTTAGAACAACGTTGATTTAATACATTACGTTGATTTAGGCCTTATTAAACATGACGTTAAGTTGAGTAAGTAATAATAAGTTATAAAACATCAAAAACATCAGCGTACTAGCTAAATTTCTTTTTTTTTTTTTTTTTTTTTTTTTAAGTTTACATTTGTCGTAATACAATACTTTAACAAATACAAACAAGGTTTCTGAAAGAAGATCGTACTGATCTTATCATCAGAACCTTTTACAAGCATTTAGCATAATTATTTACAATGTATATAATCTATTTATAAAATAAACAGTAAAAGTAAATAGTAAAACAAAAAGATAAAAAGTAAAACAAAAAGAGTCGTTACATATAAAAAGTAAAACAAAAAGAAAAGTAAAACAAAAAGAGTCGTTACATATAACGTATTTTACAATTAACATAAAACGTATTTTACAATTAAAAAGTTCTAAATAAAGGTACATAATTACAATTAGAAGAACCTTATTATGTCATCGGAAAATAAAATTAAATTTTTGAGTTTATGTTTAAAAATTGGAAAAGTGTAAAATATATTAAAGTTTGGCAAAACAACTTTATTCCAAAGATATGGCGCACGATAAGCAATACCATACTGGTTAAACTTTGTTCGACAAAAAGGTTTATGCAAAAATTTATTATTTCTAAGAGTATATTTATTTATTGGTTTTTCACAAAAGAGAACTTTAAAGATAGGTAGGGATAAGTCATTTTTCCACAAATACATAAAGCATAAAACATTAAACACATTAAGTTCGTAAATATTAAGAATTTTCATTTCAATAAAAAAAGGTTTGGAATGAGTGTATCGATCCGCAAAATTAATTAAACGGATCGCATGCTTCTGACGGCGGTAAAGACATTTTAATTTGCTTTTTTCTGTGCTTCCCCAAGCAATATTTGCATAATTTAAATAGGTATGAATAAATGTGTAGTATAGTTGGGTTAAATCTTTTTTACATAGATATGTTCTCGATTTATATAAAATTCCAATGCTTTTAGAAATTTTTGTGCTAATATAGTCAATATGCGCTTTCCATGTGATGTTTTCATCAAGAAAAACACCTAAAAACCTTGTGACATAGTGTCTTTTTATCACAGTATTATCAATAAAGATTTCTGGCAAATTTTGGGGTAAATAAGGTTTTTTTGCGATTGGATGGAAGAGAATCCATTTTGTTTTGTTACTGTTAAGAGTTAGCTTATTGCATATAAACCATTTTGATATGTTTTTAAGTTCATCGATCATACTAGAAAAGAGTTTGTAAATATCATTATCGGAAAGAAATAAGTTGGTGTCATCAGCAAACATTATACTCATTAAATTTGAGGCTTTATTTAAGTCGTTTATATAAATCAAGAACAACAGTGGTCCCAAAATGGAACCTTGGGGAACGCCACATGAAACATTTAGGAACTCATTTGGATAACAACTATTACTAAAAACAAATTGTTTACGGTTAGATAAATAACTTCGGAACCATTTTATAACTTTGTAATTTATTCCATAGTATTTCAGTTTTTGTATCAAAATTTCATGATCTACAGTATCGAACGCCTTCGATAGGTCGATAAAAACACCTAATGTAAATTTAGATTTTTCAAAAGAATTTGAAATTTCACGTACAAGTTGGATAATTGCATGTTCCGTCGAATTATTTTTTTTAAAACCAAACTGGTTGGCGTATAACAAATTATTAGAAAGGAGATAATTGTATAATCTATTATACATAATGCGTTCTAGTATTTTTGAGAATGTGCAGAGGACGGAGATAGGACGATAATTACTGATATTTGTTTGATCTCCCTCTTTTAAAATTGGGGTAATTTTAGCAATTTTTAATTGATCCGGAAAAACTCCTTGGTGAATAGATGCTCCATAAACCTTAAAAAGTATATCTTTTAATTGTTCAAAACATTCTATAACTATATTACCGTTTATGTCATCTGCTCCGTTTGCTTTGTTTTTTTTTAAGGGATTTGAATGCTTTTTCGAATTCATAAAAAGTTAGCTCAGAATATAATTCGTTGGAACTAATGCAATTATCCATCTGTACTAGAAAATCGTTAAATGTTGCTTTGGTATAAGGAATTTTATTTGCTAGTTTAGGACCAATGTCAGTGAAGAATTTATTAAACTCATGAGCTATAGCTTTTGGTTCGCATATGCGTTTGTTATCCACTATAACCATCTGGGGCAGAGAACCTGAGCATTTTTTTTGTCTGCCAGTAATTTCGTTCATTATTTGCCAATTGCGTTTTGTGTTATTTTTGAATTTATCTAGAAGTCTTGTGTAATAATTTTTTTTCAAATTTTTACGAACTTTTTCAAAGAGATATTTGTAATTTTTATATATTTTCTCATTATCTAATGATTTTGTTTTAAGATATTTTATATACAGCTTTTGTTTAATCTTGGATGATTTTTTAAATCCTTTTGTTATCCAGGGGTTATTTTTATATTTTGGAGTTATTGTCTTTTCAATAATAGGAAAGTTTGCGTCATAAACGGAGTAAAAGGTTTCATAAAAGTTATCATAAATTTTGTCTGCATTGTCATTGAAGTTAATATGCTTCCAGTGCAGTAACGATAGTTGGTTTTTAAACAACTTTATATTTGTATGGTTAAAAATGCGGATTTTAATTTTGTTTATTTTATTTTTAATTTCAGAATTAATTGTCAAGAATATTGGAAAATGGTCAGTTATATCAGATTTTAGGATACCTGTTTGAATATTATTGTTGAATATATCTGTTGTAATAATATTATCAATCAAAGACGTCGAGTTTTTTGTTACTCTAGTTGGCCTGTTTATTAAAGGAATTGCTCCCGCCTCAAAAAAGGAGTCGTAAAAGTTTTTAATTTTGTTATCTTCATTATAAAGAAAACAATTCATATTTAGGTCTCCAATAATGAAGTTCTTTTTGTTTTCTTTAATACCTTTTTTGAAAATACTTTGTTCAAAAAAAATGCTCAAGTTCTCGCTCACGCCGTCAGGTGGGCGATAACAACAGCTTAATAATATGTTTTTAGATTGATTGTTCATAATTTCAATAGTCAAAATTTCTTTATCGCTATCAGAAGCACTTAAATCATTCCTAACGTAATAAACAATATTTTCATTCACTTATATAAGGACTCCTCCGCCGCGTTTATTTACTTGTCTTTTAAACGAAATTAATTTAAAATGAGGAATATAAAAGTTCGAAGTATTATCCATGTTATTTGAAATCCAGGTTTCAGTTAAACAAACTATGTTAAAACGATTTTTTGTTTCCTCTAACAAGTTTAAAAGTTTTTCAAAATTGTTATTAAGACTTCGAATGTTTACGTGTAGTATCATAATTTTATTTAAACATTTGTCATAAACATTTTTAAAAAGAAACCCTTCTAAATCGCTTGGAAAGTGATATGAGCAATCCTTAAGCGCGTCGTAGGAATAGTTTATATCTGGGTCTATATTTACATCATTTATTTCATTAAAGTTAAAACGCATGGATTCAAAGTCACTGATTCCAGCCATGCTTTTTTTTTTTAAATATAATTTTATTTGAGCATTTACTTTTAGAAAGGCTTCTTTTTAGGACTTAAAGTTAGGGATGGGATTTTTAAATTCTCTACAAAAAATTTTATCATACTTGATAATGGCGTACTTTCCTTCACCGCGTAGACGTTTGACTTCTTCCCACAACTTTTTGCGACTCTCGATAGTTTCCTTTGCGAAATCTTCGTTGATGAATACACCAGTACCTTTCAAGTTTTTAACAGCGTTAAGAATCTTGTTCTTATCTTGATAATTTAAAAGTTTCAGAACTATAGTTCTAGGTATTTTACTATCTTTTGTTTTGCCTACTCTATGTGTTCTTTCTACAACAACTTCGCTATTTATTTTTAGTTGGTTTTTAAAAATATCTTTAACTGTATCCTCGCATTCAGTCCAGGTTTCACCTGCTTTTTCTTTTACTCCATCTACTCGCAGATTGTTTCGTCGAGATCTGTTTTCGAGATCGATTGTTTTTTTGGTCAACATATTTACTTCGTTGTCATAACACTTTCTAATTTGTTTTATTTTATCTATAAGGTTTGTTTCTTGGAAGTTTAATGTTGTTTTGACATCGTTCATATCTTTTTCGATATTCATAATGTAGGTACGTCGATATCCGCGTTTTACGGAACCGATAAATGTGCTAAAATTCTGTGCCACGTTTTTTGAACTTCGCATTTAGAGAGGTAGGTTGTGCTGTGTTTTGTCGCCTTATTTTTTATAATTTCATATTAACATAGATATTTTTTAGAAACTAGAATGATTATACTTTAAGAATTTGTGTTCTTTGATTACTATTACGTACTTTATAAGTTGATTTCTTGACATGCAAAACTTTGTTAACTTTGCACATCCAGCAAATATCGAAGATATGGACAGCAATTGAGATTGTTTCGCAGCCATTTAAGTTTACCTATTTTTTATTTGTCTGCCAAATTTCGTGGAAAAAAAATGGGGCCCAAGCAGTCTATTTTGGGGCCCACTTTTGGTACCTATTTTCTTTAATCTGAAATTTTTTGCGGGCGATCGGGGGGTGCAAAAAAGTCGAATTCTTTAACTTTAAAAAAAAATAAAACTTTTTTGTAAATTTTTTATTTTTACTAAATTTTACTTTTTTTAGATAAAATGAGTGAAGAGATAAATTGTAAGATAACCAAAATTTTTATTTTCATTTTCCAATTAATTTATTAGTTATCTTTTATGCAAATAGTATCACTATTTACTTAGGTATAATAATACTTAGTAATGCTAAGACTTTCTAATCTTTGTCTAATCTAATAACAGTATTTCTAAGTAATTGTATTGTTTATTTTGTAAGAAGTACATAATGGTAGAAATTTATGTTTCTGTGTATGATTCTATGTATCAAAGTCAGAATCTATATCAATAAATATTGATATAATAATACTATTAGTACTATTACTAATAGTATTATTATATATATATATATATATATATATATATATATATATATATATATATATATATATATATATATATATATATATATATATATATATACATATATATATAACTTTTGTTTAAATAAAACGGATATAAATTGTTTGAAATAGTTCCTTTGTTATGATTGTTTAGATGCACAAGCTATTGAAAGCTTATATGAAAAATTAAGTTAGTAATTCAATTTTGTTATTTAGTTATTATTTATTTAATTATTTAATTAGTAATTCTCATTTATTGAATCTATTTTATTTTTAATTCTATTTTATTAAAACTGTTTTGTTATTTTATTTATTATGTTTTTATATAATCTTATAATAATATACTTTTATAAAACATTATAGCAAATTTTTACATTTTTTAACTATAGGAACAGTAAAAATAAAAACTTTACAAAGGGTTCTGTGAGTAGCATTTTGTAATACAACTGCTATAAAGCAAATGTGTCTACTTGCTTTATTTGGAAAACTTCTTACAGGGCCGTGGATGACAATGTTTTATGTGTCATCTGAAAAAGCATATTTTGATCATGTTGGTGGTATCCAGATTGTTAAAAATGTTGTGCAAACAATTAAAGACTGCAAATGCGATCCAGCTGCAATATTTTGCAGAACAACAGATTTTTATGGAAATGCTCTCAAAGCAAATGTGTTAGAACCAATAACAAAAATATGCATAATTGATGACGAGCTCATTGCCATGATCTTGGCTTGCCTCAATGCAATAGAAGTGGTTTTAAATCGACAGTATAAACGCTATTTTTCCATTACCATTACAGAAGCACTTGAAAAAGAAACAGCTAGTGCAAGACTTCATAACATAGTGAAGAATTAATGGGAATGTTCAGTGCTGCAAAAGGAAGGTCTCCTAATGCATCTATTGATTATATATCTTGCAAATTACGAACCAAAAAGAATGGGACAATGGCTTATCTGGATAATCTTGATGACTTTTCTAGAAAAATGGTAGTTCAGTGGTCTATGCAGGCAGCACGTAGAAAACGAATAAAAACTCGACTACAACATTCTGAAATTAGAGCTGAGATTTCTAAAAGACAGACTATAAAACGCCAAAAAATCGATGAAAAAGAAAAAAGAAAATTAGAGCAACAATTAACATTATTAACTTTCAGTGAAATTCTGAATTTGTTTAAAAACTTATCTACTAAGCAAATTGATGATTTAAAAGATGTTATGTGTGAAAGAATTGTTGGGAGAAATCTTTGCCATGAATGGTATGATTCCAATACAGCAATGACAGTCTTGTATAATGGCAGAATAGAAAAACTTAAAAAAGCTCAGAAAGATATTATATACACTATTTCTTACTGGACTAGAGAAGAAAATGATACTGAAGCAGTTGATTATTATATGAAAAAATTCCAGCTAGTTGCTGACATTGTATCCGGTGAGTTGATGTTTTCCTAATGTAAATATGTTGCATTTATTTTTTTATTATTGGAAATGCATTTGATTATCTTACTACTTTATTTTACTTTGGTTGACTCTCTATTTCTCAATCTCTCTCTCTCTCTATATATATATAAATATATATATATATATATATATATATATATATATATATATATATATATTGATATATATATATTGATATATATATATATATATATATATATATATATATATATATATATATATATATATATATATATATATATCAATAATATGCAAATGTACAGCGAGAAGTGGTACTTGCACAAAAACTTTATAGCGAGTAGTGGAACTTGCAAAAAAAAAAAAAGCAAGTAGAACTTGCAAAATAAAATATAGCAAGTAGTGGAACTTGCAAAAAAAAATATAGCAAGTAGTGGAACTTGCAAAATAAAATATAGCGAGTAGTGGAACTTGCAAAAAAATATATAGCAAGTAGTGGAACTTGCAAAAAAATATATAGCGAGTAGTGGAACTTTGCATAAAATATATAAAGCGAGTAGTGGAACTTGCAATTTTTTTTGATAGACGGCTCTGGCTTACGTTCACGTCGTGTCTATTGTTAACAATGATTAATATATAGTTTCATTAATGGAATTTAATATCTTAATCATTAACTAAAAGCCAAGACGCAAACTAATTAGAATAATATTATAAAACATTTTTTGTTTTTGAAATTCTTTTTTAGGTCAGAGGGGGAACCATCTATAACTATCACAAAGCATTGTGTGGTGTATTTTGAGTTTTGGTAAAAGATGTTTTTAAATTAAAGTTTATTATTTTAATTGCATTTAAATATTTTTATGAATCTCAATAAAAATATTTTTTTTTTTTTAGGTTGTCAAAAAAAAAAGGGGGGGGGGGAACACGCCCCCTTCCCCATTTACACCCCTTGAAACAAGGGGTGCGCTGCTAGTGATTTTGTAAAGTAGTAAAATATACTTTTTGATTTGAATACTAGATTTCTTTTTAATTATGAAGATAAATATTTATATAAAGAGTCATTTTTGATAATAGGGTGTTTAAAACCATCACCCTTACATCCACCCAAAGGCAATGATGAATATTCTATATTTGATTGTGGTCTGCTAGCTAATAACAAAAACATCTTGCATATAAAATATTTACATTTTCATTTAAAAAAACACTTTTTTATAAATATAGTACGTCTTTATTGCCGGTAAGGATGGTGGTTTTGTGCCCCCTCTTACTCCCCGGATGCGCCCGTAATCTAGAAACCTTCGTAAATTTGTAGATGACTCTTGTATCTATCTTTTGATACCAAGATATAAACATTTGGATAAGAATTGGTTAAGTTATAATAGTTTTAGTTAATAAAAAGTTTATTTTGACCACAGTTTCTTCAACAAATCCTAATATCAAAAAATCGGTACTTAAAACGTCATAACTTTTTGTAGGGTGGTTCGATTTTGAAAATTTTTTCACTTTTAGAATATTGACATTAAGCTCTTTTTAATGATATATAACAACCTATAATTTGATGAATTTAAAAATTTCATGTAACATACCTACATAATGTTGGATTTATTATTTGTTACATATATTTCAATTTTCTCTATTCTTTCCGTTAATATTTTCAAGTTTGCACTCATTATCGACGCGAAGCTTTTTTCTTGTTCTTTCAACAACTTTTCTGTTTCTTGTAATATACATATCTTTTGTTCCTCCAACTTCTTGATAATTAATTTTTCTATATTTTTAAATGAGGTTTCCATGTTTAATTTAAAATTTGACACGCTGTAGAAAAAACGCGTCTGTTCGCTTCAACACGCTGCTTGAAAAAAAAAATTTCTTTTATGTGATATTTCAGAATAATTTGTTTAGATCGTCATCAGACGTAAAATGCCAATTTAAAAATTGTTACAATGCAAAATATTAAAAAACCAAAAAAAAGTCAAAAGAAAAACGACGTCAGTAAAATTTTTATAATGATTTTCTTAAATTGTGGTCTCCAATTATTTTAAGCAACTTATACCCCGTTATCCTTGTACAGCGGATTGTTTAAGGTGGTACCCCTAGAAAAAAGTGTTTTCTTTTATAGTATTAGCGAAATGTTTTAATATCAGTTTTTTAATACTGAAATAAGTGCAAATTTAAAAAGTATAATTTTATAACAAAATAGGTTTTTTTTAAATATGTTTACTGTTTCATGAGCAAAGTTAGGAGAAACTTGGGACACAATAATTTTAAAACAACTAATGTATATAATATGAAATTTAGTTGAATGATATATTACATATATAAAAATATAAAAATATATATAAATATATTTTAATATATAAAATAATAATAGATATAAATCTCTTAAACTAGTCAACGAATACAAAGCGTGTAATATTCAATTGAAGAAGCTCATATATAAAGCTTGTTGTGAGCTTGAACTTGATTTAGCGATAAAATCGAAGCACAACCCAAAGATTCTGTTCAAGTATGTTAATAGCAAACAAAATGTTAGAACTACAATAACAGCCTTAAAAGGAATCAATGACATCACTATTACAAATCCAATAGAAACAGCAAATCGGCTGAACAATTACTTTCAAAGTGTTTTGAATAAAAATGACGACGATTAACTGCCATAATTTGTAAAACGAACTGAAGCAATCTGCAAATACTCGCAAATAACACAAGATCTGGTTAAAAACAAGCTGAGCGATTTATCAGTTAATGAAACCGTTGGTTTGGATGGTGTAAGCGCATATGTACTGAAGAACTGTTCTGACAGCTTTTTTCAACAAATCGTGATGGGCGATTATAATTCCTTGTAGCTTGAGGTATTTAGTGGCGTCCCTCAAGGATCCGTCTTTGGTCCAATACTTTTTATCATTTTTGTGAACGATATATCCGATTTTGTTGAACACCCATGTAAAATGTATGCTGATGACACTAAACTGCTGACCCGTTTAGACCACTTATTAGCTTCACAAAAACTTCAAACTGATATCTACAACATAGCCGATTGGTGCAAAACCTGGAAAATGAAACTTAATCCCAATAAATGTAAAATCATGCACATAGTTAAAAAAAACAATTTTTATATCTACTCAATGCCAGCTAATAAAAATAACAGTGTCAAACTAGCATCGACTTTAGTCAAACGTGATTTAGGCATCAAGATTACGCCATACTTAAAATGACATAACAATTCAACTTTTAAAGCAACCAATAAGGCTAACCGTGTATTAGGCGCGTTGTATCGTACTTTCAGTCACATGATTCCGCAACTACTTCAAATTCTATATACAGCCTTTGTATGACCTGATCTGGAATTTGCGGCAGCAGCCAGCAACCCATTATCAAGAATAGATATTGACAAATTGAGAAAGTATAAAGAAGAGCTACCCGTTTAATACCTTCGTATAGTCATATGTCATACAAAAATCGTCTGAATATACTAAACTTAACGTCTTTAGAAACCCGTCGCATTAGGCGAGATCTGATACAGGCCTATAAAATTATTAACAATATAGACATTGTCTCATGGAGTGAACCCCATTCCTTTGTGTTGGGGAGTCAAATAAAATAAAAACTAGAGGACAAAATCTAAAAATGACAAGAGAACTTGTTCAAATTGCGAGCTTTAATTTCTTTTTGATCAATTTCTAGGTATATTCTTGAAAAATGATTTCAAAAAAATTCGATGTCATAAAGATTAATATTTATGAAAATATAAGATTTGAAAAACTGAAAATTGCATGAAAATCATATTTCGCAAAAAATGCAATTTATAAACTTAAATAAGTAAAAAAATGCAAATTATTACTCTAAAACATTAATCTTTCATCTTGATACTTTAAAAGACCCTTTAAATAATGTATCATTGGAAAAAATATTGAATGACTTTTTAGTCACATTTAACAATTACTAAATTTATTTTATTATTTTCATTTTAAAGTATTATAATTTGGTATTCAGTGTTGTTTATTTTCTTTATATCAAAATTTAGGTAGAAATGTTCTTCCTGTACTATTTTAGTAATAATTTTCATCTTTCTTTCTTCTTGCCTCATAGATGATTATTATATTCCAGTCTGACTTGGATTTTCTATTTTTTTATAAATTTTTTTATAACTTTTTACAGATTTTAACTGATTTATTTGTACTTAAATATTCAGTTATCACAAGCAGAAATGTAATGTCGTAAAAAAAAAAGCACCAATTTTGAATCCAATTGTTGAAATTTTCAGAGTACGACTCCAACTCCGACTCCGACTTCAACTCTAACACCAAAATTTTTGAAAAATTCTTTGAATTCTTTAAAAAATATTACGCAAAAATTAGTTTTTTTTTAATTTGCCAATTATATGAAGAATTCTTTAAGGTTAAATATTTTTTACATGCACGTACAATACCGAGAAGTTTTACTATTGGAGTCGGAGTCGCGATTTTGTTTAGTGACTCCGACTCCGCTACAAACGTCGCGATTCCAACTCCACGACTCCGACTTCAACTTCACAGCCCTGATAACAAGATTAGATGGTAACTTTGTTCTATTGAATACTCTCTTTATTGATTTTTTAATTTTCACTGGTTTGTAATTGTCTTGTAAATCTAAATCTGTACCACTTTCTTCTGATACAGTTAAACTGATATTTACTTTGTTTGTCAAAAATGTATTTTTTGCAACTTTGACCTTTAAAGGATGTAATTACACTTTCGTGTAGTACTGTGACGAACTTCTCCTTAACTAAATAATATGTTATAAAATTTTTTATCTTCCAGACTAAGTCACATGCCCTTAATATTGATGATATCAAAAAGATCTCCAAAAACAGACCATTCTTCCTTATCGTCAGGCTTTTTAAGATTCTAGCCACGTTTTTCTATAACCTTTTCAATTTTTCTTTCATCTAATTTTTTAGAAATACTTGGAAAGTTGAGTTTTTCCATAATTTACATATTTGGACAGCAACTAACTTTACTCTTTTTTTTCTGCTTTTTTCAATTGATGCCAGGTAGTTGTAACGTCCAATAATAAATTTTTTTTTATAGCATTCTATTAAATGAATCTAATGGTTTCTCAATAAAAGATAGACCAATTCATAATGTTATACTTTTATTAAATAAAACTTAATTTTTTGTTCATTCTCTTTAATAATTGTCAACAATAGTTTTGCTATATTTATTTGATATAATAAAAAGATCTTAACCCTTAAACCATTAAGACCGTCTACAGACGGTCATCACTAAATGTAATACTATTCAAATTAAATAAAAAATCGATTTTAACCACTAAGGCCATTTTTAGTCTGTAAAATTTCCTACAAATGACAACAAGTTTGAACACGTTCTGACGCGTAGTTTGATTATTTTGGTTATTCTTGTTGAGAATTTCTAGTAAACAGCCGTCAAAATTATTTGTGATTGCAGTACAAACTCAAATTATAAAAATAATATATTCAAACAGCTCAATTGACTTGAGATTTTTTGTGGTAAGTTGTTCAACCTTATATTTTAATAATATGTTTTTTGTTTGATAAATAAAAAGTTTTTTTTTATTTAAAACAAGTACTTTATGAACACCTTCTACAGACGGTGTTAGTGGTTTGACTATAAAAATTTCCTCTTATTTTACCTACATATATTTATATTTTATTTTAATTTTTTTTGTACTTTTTTTCCATATTTTTGATTTTAGAAAATGCCACAACAAAATAATGGAAAGAAAAAGTTTAATCTCTCTGCAATGAGTGATGAAGAAATTGTAAATTTTATGAACTCAGCTGAAAC